CGTGGCTGCCTTTTATAGGAATCATCTCTTGTTCCTAGAAAAACCGGAGATGATAAATCCCATATGGCAAGAAAAAGGCTTTCAGTGATCTGTCAGGGTAGGTCTGGAGCCTGTCACAGCCCGTGTCTCCAACGGCCAGCCTGCGGTGGAATTTATGGGGAATAAATCTTTTACAGAGTGAGGCTGCTCTGCATTACTTCATTCCTCACGGAGGAACACAGGATTGGCATGGGCACATTTTTAGCCTTTAGATGGAGAATAAGTAAGGGACATTGGTTTTCCAACTGGGATGCCTTAAGTGAGTTATTTAAACCCCCATCTAAATAGCTGAGGCCGTGTGGTTGGAAAGATGGTGTGGGTGCTTGCCATTTTCTGGGGTTTGGTGGTCCTTGAACCTTTTGATAATTGAATTTTGAAAGGGGTACCTAAGTCTGGAGAAGCCTGCTGCTGAGCACTGCATTGAGTAGTTCCGCCTGACTGTATTTTAGAGATCATTTCCAATTACCTTACCTAGGTGTTAGCACTATTAACTCCTGGGGGTGTAGTTATCGGATAAATCCGCTTCCAAGTTTCATTGGATAGTGTGGTGATCCTGATTCTCTTGTCTTTGAATGCCACAACCTTCAAAGTAACTTGTCATGTCTAAGAAAGCATTTTAGGCTTTCAGCGTCCATCCAATAGAAGTGAAAAAAATGGCAAAAGCAACCTCTTTATTTTATTTCCTTTACTGGTGCCCAACCAGGTTGGACCTTGGGTAGGAGTGAGAAGGTGTGCGGTTGTTGGCTTAATGGTAGGTTAAGGTCTTGGTTTGCCTTGCTGAATTGGAGCAAGAACTGTTTTAGGAAGATCTCTTCACGGGTAGCAGTCTTGCTGACAAGGTTGCCATGTCAGCATGGTTGAGCTTCCACACTTCAGGGAATGGTGTTTGTATGGGGCTGGAGTCCCTGCCCCATTGGGCTGCTGGGGCACAGGTAGAAATGCTTCACAGGGAAGAGCTGCCATGAGATGCTCTTTGGCACTGCTGCAGTCCAGTTTTTGGAGCAGCTTTGTCTTAGTGTGCCGGAGAGAGGATGACTGGAGCATCTTCCCTTGGGGGAGGACCTGCATATGGGGTTCTCTCACCCCGTGGTGAGCTGATAGACATGCATTGCTGCCCCTGCATGTTTGTCATCTTCTCATCATGGACTCATCTTTTCTTATATCATTTTGATTGCAAGTTCGCCTCTGCTCTTGCCTCCCACCCATCTCGCCCAAAATGGGTTCCTTCTCCATTGCTGATCTTCACCTGTCAGACTCACCACTTACTTCCACAAGTTCAGCAAGCCTGGAGCACCTTTGGGAGAAGGGGAAGCAGCATCAACTGTCATAAAAAATGCTTGTTCTTACTGAGTTTATTTGCTGATTAAGGGTAAAACTGTATAATTGCCATAAACTGTATAATCTTGCTAGAGCAAGAACCACATTTAGATCACTTTTAATAACCACTATTAATAATAATTATACATTACAGCAATGCTGATAATTATTAAGTTATAATAAGCAGTTTGCACATCTATTGACATTTTCTGCTGATGATTCATTGTTTTATGGTCATAGTAATGAGCACTGCATAAGCTGCACAGGTAAGGTTTGTGCTTTGACAAAATGGGGGGAAGAAGGGGAAACAGGAAGAAAAATACACATTTGAGGTTGATGTCTATTAATTACTGTTAAGGAATGTGTCTGGAGTCTGGGAATCCTTGGTGGTAGATGCTAAGCCAACACAGATCCAAGGGATCACCACTCCCCGAAGAGCTCTCAAGAACACGTATTTGCTCAGTTTGGGAAGGCATCAACCACTTTGATGCTCTAATGTGGGTTTGGGTTTTTTCTGTGAAAACCTCTTGTTTGTGCATGTTTTGAGGGTGAGGTGAGATGGGAAACCTGCTCTAGGCACACAGATTTCCTGACATGCAGCACTAAAAAAGCCAGGAGACCATCCAGCCTGTGCTGCCTTCCTGATGGAGAGGGTTAATTTTGGAAATGGAGAGATCCTTTAGCACTAATGTGGAGAATAAAACTTTGTGGGTGGACTTGAATGAGCCTGGATCTAGGTGGGTGCTTCCCTTCCCAGTATGCCTCCTGCCAAGGAGGAAGGGACAACACTTGTGTCTCAAAGCCTGTCCCTTATGCAAGGTTCCTGCTTGGACCAGGTACCAGCTTGCAGGACCCAGAAGATGGGCCTCTGTAAACCTGTGATTCTCTTGGGTTTGTTTTGTCAAGCACGTTTTATATGTGTTTTGTATGGTAGAGTTGTGTAGAGCCACGAAAATCGATGAGTAACAGCTGAAAAGCCCTGCCTTGAAAAGCCTTCTAGAGGATGGTGACCAAAACCCTCATCTGAGCGTTGGGACATCTCTGGGCAGGCTGGTGGAATTGGAAGAGGCAGTTGCAGAACTGGGAGAGACTCATCAGAAATGGGAGACACTGCTCAGGAAGAAGTATGAAAAGTGGGCTGAGAGAGCAAAGGAGGCTGTCTCAAGTGATGAAGTGTTTGAATATCATCTCATGGAATCATAAAACCATTCAGGTTGGAGAAGACTTCAGGAGGTCTCTAGTCCAACCAGTTGCCCAAAGCAGGGTCATCATCAAGTTTAGACATTATCTTGCTGTTGTAGTGATCATATAGGCACGTGTGGTCCTAACCATGAACCCTGTAATAGGAAGAGAGTGGGTTGGAAGGGCAATTCAAAGGACAAATTGAGAAAACCCAGAGCTGGTCACTGCCAGGGAGTGCCAGGAGATGCCACAGAATCAGGGTGTTCCTTATTGACGGCCTGGGTTGGGGATGGTGGCACATTGGCACAGCCAGCATGCTGGGATGACCATGTTGGTCTCTGTGTCATTATGTGATTCACAACGTCTTGGTGCAGACTAAGCATATATTCATAGAATCCCAGACTGGTTTGGGTTGCAGGCACCTTAAAGCTCATCCAGTTCCAACCCCTGCCACGGGCAGGGACACCTTCCACTAGACCAGGTTGCTCCAAGCCCCAAAGAAGATTACAGACTGTGGCTTGCTCATCTTTTATCTTATTAGAAGGGTTGGATGTCAACCGATTCACTGTCAATGCCTGGACATCTGCTCTAGGGATCTTTGTGTACTTACAATGGTGATCCTATCTCAGGTGTACGTGGTAACTCATCACCCTTAAACATAGGGGAGTTTTCTTCATGCTAAGTTCTGGTTTTCTTCAGAGAGAGGTGAAGGTACTGAAAGATGACTTGGTCTTATGGTTTCCTGCTACTAGAGATCCATAAATATGTCAGATACATGTTTTGTGCTTGTTTGCTGGACCTGGTGACTTCTAACAAACCCGTTCCCTTTCAGTCCACTGTCTCTTCTGTTGCTACTCAGCAAAATGCTGGTAGGGCACGATGGTGAGCACCCCAAAAGTGAAGTCATGTGTTAGCCCTTGCCTTGCTTCATGCTTTACCATGTATGATCAAAGGGGAGCATCCCTAGGGCAGTTCCCTGGGCTTAATTTCCTCCAGTTCCATTTTAACAAAAAATATAGGCAAAAAAGCCTTTTGGATTGTGTTTTCTGGCCCCAGGGAATGGAGGACACTCAAGTGTTGCCCCGTGTATCAGCTCGTCTCTTATGGTCACCTCTCCATGCCACTGTGCCCTCCAGGACTCATTGCAGCCACCTATTCCCCCAGCTCTTTCTTTAGCACTTTTCATATAATAATTGGTGCTTTCCGATTGGTAATTGGCACTAATTAGCTAAAAGGGGAGTAGCATGCCCTCCTCCAGGGTGCTGTGCTCTCTGGAGTGCCTCCTTTTATTTCCTTGTCTACTCTTTTTTTCCTTTCTCCTTTTTAATACGCCACATGATGCCTGTTCAGGAGCTAATGTGTGATATTGATCTACAAAATGAGCCTTTTTGACAGTCGGGGCACAACTGGGAATACTTCCTTGAGCAGATGAAGTCTTTCGGCCAGAACTGCTCGTTCTCGGCAGTTTCCAAATGAAGCCACAATTGTTCAGAAGTGACAGATGAGAAATAGTTCAGAAGCTGGAAATTGCATGAGCTGGGAACAGATTTCTTTCCCCCCTTCCCTTCCGGATGGCATGTGACTCACTCCGAATTTGCTTGGTAATTTTATACTTGTCTTAAAGCCGACTGTAAATACTGGCTCGTGGAGGAGGAGAGGGTGAGGGATGAAGTCGCCGTGTCCTGCAGTGTGGTGGGAGCTCCCTCCCAGCCTCAGGGAAGGAAGAGTATGAGTCTTTACCACAAGACACTGGTCCAAAGCTTAATTTGTGAGCAGACATGCCCAGCACGGGTACAGGAGCTGGTGTTCTCTGTTCTTTAAGGTGTGATTGGCATCCAGCCATGGAGAAGTAAGGAGGAAGACAGCATTAAAAAGCCCCTGTATGTTCTATAGGGCCGTTCTCCTGCGGGGAGAGAGGTTTTAAAGATAGATTCTGGTGTGAGATCAGTTTCAGCTCCACGTGCAAACCTCCTCGCTGAACCATTTACAGTCCTACTGTTGACTCAGCATCATTTACTGCCACCATCCTAAAGAAGCTTTTCAATTACCATCCTCTTCCTCACACCCGTGTCCATCGTCCCCTGCTTACCACCCTTATTCAGCACAGCTACTGCCATGGGATTTTTAAATCAAGCTTTTTACTTCTGGTTTGGTTGTTTTTTTATTGTGCGTGTGTCTGGAGGTTTTAGTTTGGGTTTTAAGGAGGTAGGCAAAATGTTGTTGTTGTGCTTAGATGTCAGAATATTACAGAAATGGGAAGTTACTCGCATACATGGAAACTCTGTGACCATGTAGTATTATTATAAACACTATTGGAAATGCAGACGTACAGCAGAAAGTATTCAGCCTGTGGTAACTGATAGGCTTTAGCTGCTTTTTATGATTACTGGGAAGTCATTCCTTGCCTTTCTATGTTTTGCTCTCTCAGGCCCCCTCTGTTCTCAGCGCCTCTTCCCAAAGGGATGGAGAACTCATCAGTGGCATCGGCCTCCTCGGAGGCTGGGAGCAGCCGCTCTCAGGAGATCGAGGAGCTGGAGCGTTTCATCGACAGCTACGTCCTGGAGTACCAGGTCCAGGGGCTGCTGACGGATAAAACAGAGGCGGATGGCGAGAGTGAGAAGACACAGTCCCATGTCTCACAGGTAGGCAAAGGTGTTGTGTGGAGGAGGGTGTGGGGGATGCTGGTGGCTTGGGCTGGGGATGCACATCCAGCTGAAGCAGCTTTTCTAGGGTTGGGGTGTGAAGCAGGATGTAACAAAACACTAGATTGGGGGCAGCTTGCTTGTTTGGCTATACATATATATGTGTGTGTGTGTGTATATATATATGTATGTATGTATGTATGTATGAGGTCTCCTGCCCAACCGGCTTCTGGTTTTGAATTGTCTCAAGTTGTGTGCCCTGAAGCCTTTTGACTTCCCCAGGGTGTACAAAGGAATGACCTTTCCATCCCAAACTGGTTTGCCAGAGTGGAAAAGTCCTAGGAGGACTGGAAAGACCTTCAAGGGCTGCAGCGGGGGGTGCCCAGTGCTGACATGTGCTCTGGTCTGTATGCACGGGTTGCCCGTGAAATAATCAAGAACAGAAGGTCAATCAGAAGCCTCAGATGCTCCCCAAAAGTTTGTGGGCATTTTTAATATGTGTAATAGCCTTTTTGCTCATTTCATGGTTGTTACACCAAGGAAGGAAACTGCTGTATTTCAGAGGGAGGGAATATCAGCAAATAGAGGGATGGTTTTAGTAGGGATGTGGTTTGGTGTTGTCATTAAGAATTATATAATTCTAGTTAGGTTTATTCCTAAAATGGACATTTTAGGTCAAATACAAGGAGAAATGAAACCTCATGACTGTTGTTATTGTTCAGAGGGATATCATTTGTATTCTGGTGCCACAGTGTGCCAGATGTGTGCTGAAGATGTGAACTGTTGAAAGAATTAAGGAGCCCATGGTGCAGGGAGCAGTGAGCTCTGGGCTGTGCCCTTGGGCTTGTAAGGCTGCTGTGATCCTCTGTTTGTGATAGAGGTGCTTTCCTACCCTGCAGGGTTCCTGGTAGGATAAAATATTTAGGTTAGAGACCACTTAGGAGGCTGGAATAAGACTAGTAAGGCTGAAGGGTCATAAGGGTAAGGATATGGCCGTTATTAGATAGCTGAGATGTGTTGGAGCTCCTGGAGGGGACTGCTGGTCTGACTTGGGTCTTTGTCTATTTATATGGGGTGCAAGGGAGACTGATCCTGAGCAGAGATCCCCAGACCACATGAAGCCTTATCGTTAGATTAACATCTAACAAGACTGTGTGACAAAACCAAGCTGAGGGTATGATGATGGGGAGAAGGGCAGAGTCCAGGCTGGGTTTGTCCAGGACCATGGCTGAATCCAGCATGCAGGGAAGTTTTGTTGCTCAGGTCTAGTAATAGCTTACTGATGAGGCCCTTTCTCCCTAGGACTTCATTTTGCTTTCACTTGGGAGGAGTGGATGGATAGTGAGGGGAAGGAGCTCTCCTGCCAGCTGCCAGTGGTGTCCGCTTCTCCTGTCCCTTGCCCTGTGCACCCCATGTGCTAGTGGTCATGATCACAGAAGCCAATGTCCCCAAGTCCAGCACAGAGGAGCTTTCTCTTCACCCCAGCAGTGGGGCCATGTGAACGTCTTGAAGTTCAGCAAGGCCAAGTGCAAGGTCCTGCACCTTAGTTGGGCCTTGACCTGCCATAGGAGAGACTGAGATGAGTTCTTGGGCAGAAGCTCTTCCCTGTGAGGGTGCTGAGGCGCTGGCACAGAGTGCCCAGAGAAGCTGTGGCTGCCCCATCCCTGGCAGTGTTCAAGGCCAGGTTGGACACAGGGGTTTGGAGCAACCTGCTGTGGGAAGGTGTCCCTGCCCGTGGCAGGGATTGGAATTGGGTGAGCTTTAAGGTCCCTTCAACCCAAACCAGTCTGGGATTCTATATATGAAGGATCTCATCCTTACCTGGTACCAGCAGTGCTTACCTGAGTTATCTCAGCTATGCACACCCACTAGAGCTGAGGATCTGATCCAGATCTTTGGACCCTTTGTGTTTTAGCTCGGTGTAAAGAGATTACCAATCAAAGTAACCTTTTTAAAAACAGATTTTGCTGAAGAGGCTTTTTACAAATTGAGGATCAAAGCTCTTAGAAGTGAGAGAAAATAAATCTAAAAATCAAGTGCTCTGAAGTACTTTATAGTGCATTTTTAACCTAAGGCTGGAAAATGCCCGTGTTTGAAGTGGTGCTTTGGAGGGGCTTCAGGTTAAACAGGCAAGTGCTGCTTTATTTAATGTATCAAGCTTAGAAATGCTACTGAATTAGAATAGCATTGAATTAGAAACAAATTAATAGTCAAAGTTTTGCAAGCACTTGAAGCCTGTTTACAGGTCTGCTCGTAAGTGCAGGCTCCCTCTGCAAAGGACAAAACCTGCTAATTCTTGTGGCAGCCCATATACAAGTTTTGCGTTAAGATATTTGGCTGCAGCAACTAAATCCGTCTTCCAGGGGTAAAAATGGGATTTTAGCTTTCCCCCCTGGCCTTGAAGAAAGGAGCTGCTGTGTTGTTAAAGTCAGTCCTGGTAATGCTGTCTTCAAGGACGAGCAGGTTTTATTTTAGAAGAAAAATGAACAATAGTAAAAGATCTGAACACTGAACAATTCAATTAAACCACTTTTAGAGGCATCTCAAATTAAGCAGCTAAATGTGGTTGTACCCCAGACCACTGGTGTATAAGTTGAATTAGGATTTCTATGTGAAACTCCAGCAAAACAGAGTATTCATATTTTTAGGACTGTATATGGGACAAGAATTGAAGATGGGCTTTTACATAGGTCACCTGCTTTTATCAAGCCGTGTCTTAAGGGTAGCATTAAGAAGTAACTATCTCTTGTTTCCCAGTGATACTCATTTCCCATCTCATACCCCAACTTTGTGTAAGAAATAATCTGGAAATCTTACTTCTGATTTTCTCTTCCTGATCACTTCTTATCAAAGCAAGGAATAAACATGCACATACCCTGCAGCTTGTTGGTGTAACCCAGTAGAATCCAGCCTGATTGAAGGTGGCATGTCCCCTCTTAATGTGAGCTGGATGAAGAAAGATGGGTTTAGGGGGGAGGGAGTGGACTGAAACAAAGAAAATTGATTTTAACTGCAAGGTTCTGTTAGCAACCTTAATCTTTACTGTTGGGCAAGTTACTTAATCTGTCTGGGGTTTGTTTCCTTGTGGCTGTAATAATGTTTACCCTGTCTGAGAGAGGATAAATCCACTCACCCACATGTGTGAGGTGCTTGGATGGTATCACATCCCTGGATAACTGCCCTCCATGCCTAGGGAATCATAGAAGCCCAGTCTGGTTTGTGTTGGAAGGGACTTTAAAGCTCATCCAGCTCCAATCCCTGCCATGGGCAGGGACACCACCCACTAGAGCAGGTTGCTCCAAGCCCCTGTGTTCAACCTGGCCTTGAACACTGCAGGGAGGGGGCAGCCACAGCTTCTCTGGGCACCCTGTGCCAGCACCTCAGCACCCTCACAGGGAAGAACTGCCTTATATCTAGCATGAATTCCCCTGCTTAACTTTGAACCCATCACCCCTTGACTTGTTGCTACAGGGAAGGAAGGAAGGAAGGGGCACTGCACACTGCTTCGTCCCCCATACCACTCGCAGGGGAGCTGAATCCATCCCCAGCCTAGAGAATCCCAAAGTGTGGGTGTTCCCATGGTGGGGATGTCTCCAGCCTTGCTCCATCCAACCAGGAAAAAGAGGAAAGTCAGAGGGAAAATGCAATTTTCTTTTGGCTGTGAACATAATAATGACTGAGGTGTACCTTGGGAGACCTTTCCAGGCGTGTAGTTGCACTCAGAATTGTTAAGGGGATAGGTATAGGTCTAGCAGAAGGTTCTCAAGCATGATAGCATCATGAGCTTCTCCAAGTACATCAGCAGAGGTGGCAGCAGAGTGATGGGCAGCTCTTTAATGAGCTTGTTGAAGAGATGGATGAGGACCTCCCATCTGGTGAGCTAAAATGGGCTCTCTGAGGAGGGCAGAGCAGTGCAGGGATCATCGGCACTTCTAGTGGTGGCTTTTCCTCTTAGTTTGTGGCATTGTCCATACCTATCAAGAAGCTCTCAGGTAGTTGCTGTTTGTATGGAATTGACTTCTCATTTTCTTGGTGCATCAGCTTTGGTGATGGCAGTTGAGTGCTTCCAAAGTGAAAGACCTCAGGAACAGGGCTGCTCACCAAGAGTCTAAGCTTTGTTTGGGGATGACAAAATTACTTTAGGATTAAACAGCATCTTTCATGCTTGTCTAGTGAAAATTGTGCTCTTAAAAATTTTCCCCCCAGTATGATGCAGCCCTTCATCTCTTTGAGGGGGGTAAAAAAACCCCAAATGACCCCAAATTGAATTATTTTAGTGGAGGCACCTTGCTGTCAAACCTTGGGGAAGCTGACCTAAGCACCTCGTGGTCCCCTATGGCCAGGAAGTCCTCTGGTGCCCATGTCCTTTACTATGGGGTGAAGCCAATGTGACAGCAGGGCTGCCATCCAGGCTGCACATCACAGCTGCAGAATACAGCAGTGGCCAAACATGCAGCTTTGAGCTCTGTTTTCTGTGTTGTTTAAAATAGAACCATGGGGTTTTGGCAGCTCAGGAGTCGTATCTGTCCCTGGAGTGAGCAGAGTTGGGAAAAGCAGAAGCTTCACAACTTGCTATAGAAGACTCCATGGAAAAGAGTAATCAAGTACCACATGCCTGAGATAGCAAATGCTGTTAGAGTCTGCAGGGAAATAGGGGGGATAGATTTGATTGCAAAGCATCATTTCAGGTGCCTTCCTGCAATTGTTCCTGCACCTTCCCTCTGCTCGCTGTCATCAGATAGAGCATTTCCAAGCCAAAGCTTTTGGGATCATTCCCAAAACATGGGGGTGGCCACACGCATACAGTGATGCCTGCGGCCGGATGGTGTGTGCTGTGTGCTGTGGACTGACACAGCAGTTTTCCCCAGCCTGGCTATTATTTCACACAATCCCTGTTTTTATCCCTTTTACAGTGGACGGCAGATTGTAGTGAGCAGCTTGATGGCAGCTGTTCCCCATCCCGAGGGAAGGGCTCGTCGTCCCACGAACACAATCAGGTAGGGGTTGTGCTTAGCTCTTCCTCACCAGACCTCAGCTTTTGTTCTTGTACTGTGCATGCTGCCAGCTTTCCCTCTCCCGTGGAAGGGCAGATGTGTCCCTCTGCTTGGTGTCCGGAAGCTCACTCCCACCAAAACCGTGGGAGATGGCAACATTGCAATGCATGGATGGATGGATGGATGATGTGGATGGAAGGGGTAAAAGAGCATCCTATTTATTCCTGAAGAGCTTCTTTTTGCCACCTGTGTGAAGGACCTACTTGGAGCATCAAAGCTGACTTGGTAGTATGATATGGAGCTGGGATGATGGATCTTTGTGTAGCTGTGCTTCTTGGTTATGTGCTGCGGCACAAGGATGGTGTTTAAGGGGAAGAGGATTAAATAGCTGAAAGGGTGAACTGGGAGAAGAAGCAATATTGCACATGCTGAGAGCGTGTGTTGGGTTTGCATTGACGGAAGCCAGGTGTGAGTTGGTTTTGGTGTTGTACGTGGTGTGAACATCAATGAAGAGTATTTACCAGGTGCTGCTGGCATCGCTGGAGGTGGCTGAGTCTCCTCTGTGTGAGCACCAGTGTGGGAGAGGGTTGGGAAGAGTGGAGGCATGGGTTTGACCATTGTCACCTGGTTGAGGAGCTGCTCTGCCACCATGAGACCATCAACTGGGTTAGACCAGCATTGACCTGAGGAGATGGGGCTGGCTGCAGGAAAGGGTGAAGCAGCATTTGCAGTTTCTGTGGCCGGTGGATGTCCCAGGGCATCAGGACGGTGGTTTTGGTGCTCTTGCCCTGTTTGATGTCCTCCAGGCTTCAGTCCCACGCGTGGGATCCGTAAGAAGAAGCCTGGGAGGCCTTTGCAGGTTGGTGCAAGAGGCCATGTCACTCTAAGCAGTGTGTATTGCAGTTCCCAGTTTGAACACAGCTTCTTCCCACACAAAGCCGTGCTGGAAGCTGCTTGGCTGTGGGATAGGGACTCACACATCCCCTCCCTGCCTGGATAGAGAGATGCTGGGAGCATCTATGCAACAACCTGCGCACAACAAAGGCAAGACCTTGCTGTGTAGGAAGGTGCGTGCTGTAAGGGGACACTGCCAAAGATGAGCTTAGAAGGTGCCAGACAGGATTGTGGATATAATTTATTACAGCTTTGATCTGCTCTGAAATACTCGGCAGCAAAACCTTACCCACATGCCCCCCCCGCCCCAGTGCTTCAGCCAGCTTGAATGTCAGCTTGAAATCCATCTGGGAGGCTGGTTTCCATCGAGCCTCCTTAGGTGGCGCAGGGTCTTTTCCCTGGGGAAGAAGGTCCCTGGCTCTTCACCCGGTGGCTCAGCTGATGTGCCAGTCCCTGGTGGGTACCACAGGAGGATGCAGGAGTCATGTGCGAGTGATGCTTTCCAATCAGCGCAGCCCTGACATCTTCCATCTGCCTGGTGCTGTGCTCTCTTTTGTTTCGACTTACGGGATTTTGTTGTTGTTGTGCTTTGGGTTTGGGGGTGTTTTTTGGTGCTTTTTTCCCCCCTGGGAATTAAGCCTGTGTGATCTCCGCCAACAGGGAGCCTGCTTTCTGTATACAAATAACATTTGACGTTGCCCAAGCTGTTTCCTCTGCGTTTGGGCTCTCGCCCAGCCTGCAGCAGAGCTAGCAATTATCTCTCTCCATGTTGGGCTTCCTTTAACAGTGAGTAACAAATTTTCCTTGGCACCAAAGAGGAGCTGCGAGCTATTGTTCTTCCGTCCAGGCAAGCGTTCCTCTTGCTGTTACTGATACACAAGTGAAACGCTGCTGGTGAGGACTAGGTTCAGTTTATTTCTGTTTCTGGCTGTGGACTTTTCACTAGTAGCTTTAAATGCTAAAAAAAACCCCGCCCCAGAATATTTAGGTGTTTGTCTTGAATGTAAATGATCAATCACTCTTCAAACCTGTCAGGGAAAAAGCTGGCTAATTATTTCCCAAGGGATATTAGAGGCTTTCTTGTTATATTTTTTTAAATGGATTTTGAGGGTTTTGTTTGGAAAATCAAATTCCTGATTTCCCTATTTTATTCCAGCTGGGATTTCTGCATTGCCCATTGTGCAATATGCACCATCTTAGTTGAAAAACACTCGGATGTGAAATTTCTGCTGGCTTCAGCTACTGTGAAAATGTGGATTATGTACCCGTAACCATGATATGCCTCACACCGTTCTAACACAGAGATCAGAAAGGTCATTTGTATGGAAACCTGGGTTAGTCCTGGATATATATTCAGCATCTGGTTCCCTTTCTGTGAAGACAGAGTAATCCAGGGCCACCTTTTCAAAAGTAATTGGCTTCCTAAAGGTTACAGGGGAGCCTAGGGTGAAGCAGGCTTTCCCATGCCTAGAAATCGCCCTCTGCATCCCTTAAGTACGTGATGCCTTTGAAATTCCTGTCTGTACAATCCAGCAAGGTTAAGGCAAATAAAAGACAGATACTGTGTGCGTGTGTGTAGGTGTATTATGTATCTATATAGACATTTATATATAATATGTGTGCATATCAACATCCCGGGGATGTTGTGTAAGTGAAGGGCGGAGAGCAGTTCCTGGATATTGTGCAATTTAAGGGTAAAATTAAGGTGTCTTGATGCAACCTGCAGTCCAGGATATTCCTAAATTGTTGTTTTTCCCATATTGTTGGGTGTCTCTGGGAAAGACAACCCCATACTTGCCCTGTTCTAGCACTGCTTGGTGAGACTTCTGCTATTAGCAGCTGTGGAAGACTATATGGGGGGCCAGTACCCACAGCCTGGTACTGGTACATCCCGTACAAAGCAGAGGCTTAATGACGGAGAAAATTATCCCTGGAAACCTTTTACGCTGGTCTTTCCAATTCTCTGGGTGGAAGAAGATGTTCCATCCAAAAGAAGATGTTCTGCTCATGCAGATCTCATGAGATGCATTTTGTGAACTCCTGATGTGCTGAGAAAATCCTGGCCTCACAATTATATTCAGCTCATCTATAATCCTGCTTGTTTCCTACTGTGAAGGCTCTCACTTGTGCATGGCATTGCCATGCTCCACTAAACCCTGCTGCACTTGGGCAGTACCCCACAGGGAGTCTGCTGGCACCTCTGGGGTCAAGCCCACTCCCTTGGGGTACCACAGGATACTGTCTGAGCACCGTATTGCCTCTATAAATGGGGAAAGTTTAGATAATGGGATCATTTTAAATATTTTTATGTTTGGATTTATTATTTTTTTTTCCTAAAAAGATCCAGTGGGAAGATTTTATATAATGCTTTATTTGCATTCCCCTTGCGAGGCTGTTGCAAGTAGGAAGTTCTTTGATACATTTCTGAGAGCAATTCATTAAGTAAAAGGCTTCTGGTATGGTATGTATTTAGAGAGCCAGCGGAGCTCTTGGTACATGAAAGGCCTGGCAGCAGCTCCATCCCAGGCTCCCCTTATGTAAAGTACATTAACAAAAACCAGAGCAACTCTGCGGGTTTGTCCCATTTCTTCAGGCGGTGGGAGAGGGAGAGCTGAAATCCTCCTTCCTGGCCAAGTCTCTTCCTTCCCCCATGGTGGCTGGCTGTCTCCCATCATCACCAAGCAAAAGCTTGTATAATTGGCAATATGTGGGGCTGCAGTTTATTTTACTGCTTGTTTGCACATATGTCCATGTCCCACCAGGTTCAGCA